TCGCTGCGACAAAAATTTAAGGAAATTAATATATTAACTTTGGCCTCTCAATACATTTATGAAAATGTAATGTACGTACACAAAAATAAAAGCAGTTTTACAAAAATAAGTGATATTCATTCTGTAAATACTAGGAACAGACACAAGCTAGTAGTACCAATTACTCGACTCCATCGAGTCAGTAATTCATTCTTGGGGCGATGTATACGCTTTTACAACAAAATTCCAGAAAATATACAAAGTTTGACCTGTTCAAAGTTCAAAAACTTTATTAAACTAAGTTTGTATAAAAAGGGTTATTATAATATTAAGGAATTTATGGATGATAATAACCCCTGGAAATGAGGTGATCGCTACCAAGCTATTTCTAATTTGTTGTGTTGTTAATTTGTGTAACATCATGATTGTAAGCTGTTATTTAAAAAAAAGTCCCGCTGGGTTTCTTGCTGGTTCTTCCCAGGACAGAGGTTTTTGCCGAACCAGTGGTAATCAAACAAAAGAGTGACTTTCAATAAGTATTATTTATAATCTATATTTATTATATTTATTATAAAGTAAAAGGGTTGACGATATAATAATTATGTGGGAAGCATAGAATCATAATACAGGCTGTTTGGAAAATGGGTGTAAAGCCTCAAAGAGATGATACCTTAAACCGTTTAGAACATAATAAGCTGAACTTGTCTCAGACGAAGTCTGTTCCTTTTTTTTAAATTGAATTTCTAAAACATGTTTAAATTTTGGTATTTTTGTAAATTTTAATTTTCTTGTTAATTTTATTTTGACATGACGATTCACTGATAATAATTATTTTTTATTGTATACTGGAAATTAATTAATTCGTTGACTTTGTGCATGATATTAATAATTAGCATACCACAAACGGTGAAATGTGTTCGGCTACATTGTACTTATTCACCACCTCCTGTTAACACGTTTCTTGAAAATAAAATATTTTTTATTTTATTTTATTTAAGGTTTTTAACAATAAAACCCATTTTTTTTTAAATTAATTGCTAATAGTGTTTAGTAGCAGTTGTTATGTTATTATTGTTAATTATGTAATGTGTGATTACTCAAATAAAATAATTCCATCAGAAAAACAATCTAGGCATATTTAAGTTTAAGAAACCAAAAAAAAAAAAATTAAGGAAATAAATAAAATTGCCTTTGTAGTTCAATTCTTTTCAAAAACACGCTTAATTATTGCCCTTTCTTTTGAGGTATTATTTAAATTTGGAATCAGGGTGTACAAAGCAAATTGCGGACGAATATTTTTCTTTTTATACGGACTAAAAAAAATGCACCATTTATGCTAATGCACTATTGTTTTCGTTAGAACTGATTACTTTTTAGAATTACGGTGCACGTGCACGGATTAACTTCCAGGAACTCGTTTAGTAAAAGCCACCGCGTGACCTAAAAAAAACTTGACCAATTTGACTCGCAGGTAGCGCCTAGTGAATAGACTTTTATTCAATAGAACAATCAGCTTACTAAATCACATATAGTCGTTATTTATGCACACTAATTAGGATTAGTACTCGAGTAGTAGGGGGTCACATCACATTACAGTAGAGTTCTTCACATATTTGGACCCTCAGTTAAGTAATGACTGTCCTTGTGACTAGACGTTTTAATTGCGAATTAGTTATTTTTATTTTAGATTATTTCGAATGTTCATTTTTATTGAGCTAGCTGTGTGTGTTTTTTTATAGGATAAAGGTGACAACCGAGCACACAGTCCACCTGATGGTAAGTATTTGCTGTGGCCAAGGGCGTAGCCGCCGTATCAGCCGTATCAATGATACGGGGCCCCCGGGCTACAGAGGCCCCGAACGTATGTAAGCAAACATTATTAGGAGTTAGGACTTCTATGGGACAGGACGTTGGTTTAAATTGTTTGGCTAGCTTAGTTCCTTGAAATAAAAGTATGTAAGTAGTAACTTATAATCAATATATAATTATTTTAATTCAATGCGAGAGTTTTTGTTCCTTTTGTGAATAATCTTTACCCTTAATTTGGGCCCCCGACAAATTTTGATACAGGGCCCCTCTAAGTCACGTTACTCCACTGGCTGTGGCCCAGAGATATCTAAATCTATCCTCGATTTCGAATTGCAGATGCGATGTACACCTGAGGACTAAGATGGAATGCATCGTTTCCAGTAAAAGGGGTCTCCGGTTCTCCACAGTCACCGTAAGAAACAGAACAGCGTTAAGCTGCTATTTTACGCTGGTTTGGTTTGCAGCCATCTTCCAAGCACCCTGCATAACCAATTCTATGTGGTAGAACCATGTTGTAGCTACATTATGTTTGTAGCTCAAATGGGTCAGCTCGACTGGGGAAGGATTACGCTCTTTAGTCCTCAGGGGTGACAACATATCTGCATGTTGATTCTGAATCGATGATAGATGTATATGTCTATGGGCCACGGAATCCATTTATTATCGGGTGGACTGTATGCTCGTTTATAACCCTAATTATATATGTATTTTTATTAAGTACAAAAATCGAGAGATTGTAACTTGAGAAGAATTTAATTTGAGTTTATATTAATGAGCGTTAAAAATAAACACTTATTGATTTAGCTCTATCGATATCCGAAAAAACTAAGAAAGATTACAGACAAAGTTTTAACAAAATATGAAAATACGTTTTTGAAAACCAATCGAATTTTATATAGCTATGCTCTGTAATGGTGAATCAGAAACAGATTTTTTTTAATTCAATATAGATTATAAATAATACTTACTGAAAGTCACTATTGTTTAATTACCACTGGTTCGAAAAAAAAACCTCTGTCCGGGCAAGAACCAGCAAGAAACCCAGCGGGATTTCTTTTAAAATACCAGCTTACAATCATGTATGTTACACAATTAACCACACAAAACAAATAAGAAATAGCTTGGTAGCGATCACCTCATTTCCAGCATATTATCATCCAAAGTTCCCTAATATCATAATTACCCTTTTTATACAAACTTTGCTTAAGAAAGTTTTACTTTGAGCAGGTCAAATTTTGTATATTTTCTGGAATTTTGTTGTAAAAGCGTATACATCGCCCAAGAATGAATTACTGACTCGGTGGAGTCGAGTAACTGGTACTACTAGCTTGTGTCTTTTCCTAATATTTACAGAGTGAATATCACTTATTTTTGTATAACTACTTTTATTTTAGTGTACGTACATTACATTTTGATAAATGTATTGAGAGGCCATATTTAATATATTAATTTCCTTAAATTTAAGTCGGAGCCACTCTTTTAGGTTTTAAATCATAGATTGCTCTTATGGCCCTCTTCTGTAAAACAAATACTACTTATATACATTATGTGATGGAAATGGCTAAAGTAAACAAGTCTAGCTGTTTACGCCCGAACGGTGGTTTCGGAATCGACGTCAGAGGGCGCGCGGCTCAGTGCCATACCGGTTTTGACGTCGGTCGAGCGGTGGGTTGAGAACGCGTAAAGGTGCAAACGAGTCGTCTGCCAGCTGTGCTAACGTCAGCACGCTGTCAATTTTGTTCGGGAACTCGGAATAATTAGGCGCGGCTAGTAAATATACTGTCTAGGATTTGTAACGCGCATTCCTTGCTGGAGAGCTTCCCCGGGACTCATTGTGTCTGACTCAGAATCTGTATAAGTGCATTCGACAATATTAGCTAATGCGGCCTTTGATATTCTAGAAATAACTGTTGCTACGCGAGACGGTAGTGACCTTTGATCCGGACACTCCCTGTTCGTTTTGTGTGTTAAGCTTTATAACAACGAGAGTTAGTGGCTTCTGTAAGTTAGTTAATAGTACGATAGAGTTAATGGACTGTCGAACGAACGAAGAAAGTGACTGTGGACGGCGCCGCGGAAGATTACCTCAATTTGGAGCGGTGCTGACGTCCGGGCTGCTGCTGACGGCAAAGGTCTAATAAGGTCAATCACCACCAGTTACACCCAGATACACCTCACAGCACCTTATTTCCCTTGCACCACACAACCACATGCGACCTGACCGAATCCTGAGGGACCAGTCACCTTGGATATAGGTAAGTAAGCTCCGTCTAATATCCTCCCCGTTAAATAGCAGTAGTATAGAACGCTCCCCCATATAGTTTATTGTAATTAGATACTTTCCACTTTGGTCTTAGGAGGCCCGACCTACGTCTGCTCGTTGAAACTCTGCTGAATGGGCCCCGGAGGATTTGACCTTTATGGGAGCAGCCGTAGGCCGTAACAACTAGCTATTTCAACGGTGGTAAGATTTCTAATACTTTTACAGCATATGCTGCAGAGCAAAGTCTGTTTGCTAGTTTTGTTATATGGGGGCTCCATTGAAGCTTCGAGTCTAGTTTTATTCAAAGAAAAATGGTGGTATCGACAAGACTCAGTTCCTCCCCATTTAATATTACATTTTTATTTAAACGTTTGACATTTGTAGTCATGAATTTCATACATTTCGTTTTAGTGCCATTTAAATGCAAATTATTAACATTGAACCAATTTACTAATTTAGATATAGCATATTATGGTTATCCCCTACTATGTAAGGTATATATATTAATGACTTACCTTACATAGTAGGGAATAACCATAATATGCTATATCTAAATTAGTAAATTAAGTAATACACACACACACACACAAGAAACACAAAGGGACCGATAATTGAGCCTAGAGGCACACCCAATTGTACTATCGATCCGGAAGAGCTCATACTACTAATGACAACTTTTTGCGTTCTGTTACTGAAATATGAAATGATTAATTTAAGAGCATTACTTCTTACACCGTAGTGTTGTAGTTTCCTGATTAATGTTTCACGGTGAACACACTCGAACGCTTTGGATAGGTCACAGAATATACCCAAAGCATGTTGTAAACTGATAACGAAATTATTTTTTAGCCTTTAAAGGTAGACCATGGTAAATAAATAATTTGCTCCAAAGCGAATTTCGGTGCAAAACAAGATCATAAGCAGCAGCAGCAGCAATGCGGGTACCGACCTGTAGATGTGTACGTGGCGCGCCTGCCCGACGCGGTACACGCGGTCCTGCGCCTGCTGCTCCAGCTGCGGGTTCCAGTGCGGGTCCAGCAGCAGCAGGTGGCTGGCGCCGCACAGGTTCAGCCCCACGCCGCCCGCCGTCAGCGACAGGAGCATCAC